AACGGGTACTTCCATTGAAGAATGTGTCCAGCACCAGAAGCTGCGTTGGTTGGGACATGTGTTACGTATGCCGGACCATCGTTTGCCGAAGAGAGTACTGTTTTCCATGCCCAATTCGGAGTGGCGTAAACAGAGAGGTGGCCAACCCTTGACTTGGCAGAGGAGTATGAAGGAGATCACGAAACGCTTGGGTGCAGTCGGTGCTGCTCGCCTTCCAGGATGGGGACCGCGTGATCCTCACTGTGCCTGGTTGGAGACACTACAAGATATGGCTGCCAACCGATGTCAGTGGCGTTCTTGTTTTCAGTTTCTATCCAGATTGACTGAGTGAATGTCTGGAGGTGTAGGCACGTCGGAATGATTGTGTTAAGCTAGCACTAAGTTCCTCCCCCATCCACCTTTATTCTTTTCTTTACAATAAGGCTTTCAAATAAGTCATGGTTGTACGGCAGTGAAGCATCGGTGTTGAACACTGATGTCATGCTGTCGATGATGATGATGATGATGTTGATGTCCTTCGTTGCCTCAAAATGGTATATCACTGAGTCTCAGGGGTCGTGTTCACCAGACTACAGTAAGCAATGTATCGATGTATGGTTGCGAAAGATGGCCCGTATGGACAGATGTGAAGCATGTTCAGTTTTTTTTTACCACCGACGCCCCAGAAGCGTTGCTGGTGTCAAATGGCGTCAAATGGTTCGTAACGGGATAATTGGAAAACATGTCTTTGTTTGTGCGGTGGATACTTCAGTCTCGGAAAAAATCCAGCACCATCGACTATGGTGACTCAGCCATGTTTGTTCTGCGTGTCTCCTTCCGAACGGCGCAAGCCGCGTCGTGGACAACCCGTGACCTGGCAGAAGGATGTGAAAGAGAAAACGAAGAGCTTAGATGTTGGTGCGGTCCGCCTTCCAGGATGGGGGAGAAATTGCAGGAAGTGGTGGCTGGTCAATATCAGTGAAGTTCCGGATGTTACTTCCCAAATTGCCTGGTTGAGTTCCCCAGAATGCTTGCAATGGACCAGCATCACGTCACCTCCCTCACCCACTTTTCTTTCTACTTTAAGGCTTCAAGGATAATTAACTAAACTCTGGTTGTATGACACTGAGGCATTTGTTTCAACACTGATGTTTCTGTCTCTAATGGTGACGAAAATAAAATGACGATGATTATGATGATGGTGATACGTCTACTCTCAAGCTTGTGGGCCAGCCACGTGGTTACAGAATGATCATTTACCACACAGGCAAACTTGGCACGAGTGGTTGCATTTTGGGTCAAGGGGATTCTGAAGATTACGTCGATTTTCTCAGAGACACGTTCATCCATTTTGGCTGTTTCGTGAACAGCTCTGAAGTTCTCTGTGATCGTCTGTACCGGGCATTACGATATTCACTGATTTTTGACTGAATTATCCTTTGATACTAGGGCAAATGTGGGTTCCATAATAGCCATGCAGCGGTTAACTGCTGGGTAGCTTTGTGTGGTAAAGCCTACAACTGCACCATCGCGAAGTGTAAAAAACATTGTTTTCAACTCGATTAGTTCCCTGACGTGTCTTGTCGGGATCAATCATCTGAGTCTTAGTAAGAATCGACAAGAAAGAAAACATCCAAATGAACCATCTTCTGCATGGCTGTTTGCACAGTTTGCTACAGTTGAAAAATGTATAAATCCAGCATCAATCGACTAGGTTTGAAGGTCTCTCGACCTAGTCATGCTGGCAAAAGCGAGGCATTAAACCGTATTACAGGTCCTAAGAGCATCATTTGTCTCATCTCATAAATCTAGCCCATTACTGAGTCAACGTTACGGGGAAGCTAGTAGCTGTTGGCATATTAAACATAATGAGATAAATGTGAAATCCCAGGACAAAGTGTATACAGTAATTACGACACATTTTCGCCACTAAGAGAACACGCTTATTGTTTTTGATTTGATAAAGCATCATTCGTTGTTTTGTGAGTGGAGTTCTGAAGGAGGCTGCTCTAATCGGTGTCGAGTTCGCATAGGACTTTTTCGTGTTTTTTTGCGCAGTCATTTTGTTCTTTCGTAAGGTTCGTACTAGTTTAATACCAGTAGAGCACTAACCTATAGTAGCGTTATGGCGTTTATCGACCACGGTGCGTGTTTCATCAAAGGAAGGCAACTCTGCTCTTTTTCACAGGTAGCAAGACAAGGGGACGTGTTGCCTCAGCATATGTTCTCCTCAACTCAGGAAGAATTCTGTAGATACTCTCTCGACCGGCCGTTGTGTTTGGATTTACCTCACCCGAAAAAGCTCACACGCAGTTGAAGTTATTTATTTCTCTATACTACTGCACATACTAACTCCTAACAGCGTTTCCGAACAGCTAGCTCAGGTGCCAAACATCTCAATGGTCCATACGCACGTTCAAATGCATTCAGATCATACAAACGTCTTTGTCTTAACTTTTCTCGCAAGTCTTTGTTCGGCAGCCAACCACAGTACCAACGAGATCAGGTGAGTATACCACCCTGGTGGCTAGTTGTTACACAGTTCTTCAGCTGGGGAGTGCGAAATTAAGATTAAGCTGGTCGTTTAAAGACCGGTCTGTAGGCAGCGAGGCTGCAAACATGATTTGGCATAATTAATCAATCCCACATGTGCTGGCATGGATTCTCTCACAGCATGTCCTGTAGGACCCAGTTAAGGTTTACAAAATCGAACGACAACACTGCTCCACTACAAGCATCATCAAAACGGAATTTGATACCAAGTTACCCAGGCTCAAGTGTCAAACTCTAGGCATAGGGAAGTTGCAAAATTTCAACTGGTTCGTTACACAGCCGGATGTCCTTTAGCCTTTCCCATTACTAATTTTCGTTATTTGATTCATTTTTGTAGCCAAATCATCTTACCGCTGACCGTGGAAGAATACCAAATCGCCCAGCTGTATGCCGTCGCCGAGGCGTCCAAGTCGGAGACTGGTGGAGGTGATGGTGTAGAGATTTTGAAAAACGAACCTTTTGACACCGAGGTGTTTCCACCAAATCCACCTCTTTTAAATGGTGATCCTCACTACACGACCGGGCAGTATACTCACAAGTACTACTACCTATCCCAGAAAGTCCCAGGCATTGTTCGCACTTTTGCCCCCACTTCAGCTCTCATACTCACTGAGGAGGCATGGAACGCTTATCCATATTGTCGGACTATATTGACGGTGTGATGTTATTCTGCATTCACTTATCACTCTTGTTTCAGAATAACTTCATGAAGGAGTCCTTTAGTATAATGATTGAGTCTTTGCATTCATCAGACATAACTCTTCAGAACGTGAGTTAATTAGTCCTGTTTATCTCGTATTCACTTTTGAACATTTTTGTGCTCCTTATTTTTGGTCTAGCACACAAGCTGAAACTACAGCTCGCATATTTCAAATGGACACCGGTTTACTGTTTATCTCTGGTAGATGGCTTACCACTAAATGGGTGCTTTTACTTCATGATACGTCTGTAGCAAGTTATGACTGCCTGGAAATCCTCTGGAGCCGTCTTACCTTACCTGTCTAGTGAAGGAGTTGCACAGCACTCTTGAGATATCTCGTGAACCACAATCGAATCCGGTAAAGCATGCAAGGAAGTGCGATATTTTTTCAACATTTTAGAAGGCTTTCAGCTACATTGACATCCCGCGGGAACAACAGCAGCAGCATCATCTACAGCATGGAAGTGTTCAACACCGATGCTTCACTGCCTAACAACATCTATCAAAGTAGGCCGCTTATGGTTTATTTCTTGAGACACCTTTCAATGATAAAATCCCTTCAAGAAGAGTCAGTTTCCGGCGAGTTCTTTCAGGTGGCTTCTGGAAGGGATAACTTTGTCAGTGTGACCATACAGTCGATTTCGTACGTAACTGGTTAACCCGAAACACACTAAATCATCAACTGATTCCAGTTCTGCGTACTGTACCTGATTTTATCATTTGACCATTTGATTCAGTAATGTTGCCTGATGAACAATGATACCAATTTCTAAGATCCTTCTTTCCACGGAGAAACTGGAACTCATCCTGGCATAGCGATATCCCATTGAGCTGCGCTACCTTGTGTGTGCATTTGAATCTCATACGAGGTTAGCTGATGACGTAGTTTCCAACTAATTCAATGGCACAGTCCTTCTGTTTGAAATTTGTAGTACTTATGGCGACTGGATACCTAACAGTTGAATTATTTTGATAGTCCTTAACTGGCCACCGTTGGTCTGCTGTCACACATAGACCGCTTTTGACGTTCCTCTTTTACACTTCTCTATTACCATTACGTTTTTACCGTTGGTTGCATGCCTGTACTTGGCCGACTGAGTGTCTGTGTTATTTGACATTCCTGCGTTCCGATTTTGTTTGTCCTCGCAAAGTGATTTTTTTTTGAATAAATTGGCCGGACGATGCAGTGTTGCTGTACTAATGATGGTACTGCGCAGTTTTTGGTTTGTACTAGTACACGCACCCCCCTGATTTTGCGAGCAGTTGTCATGATAATGCAGGGCTAGTTTTCAAACGGGATGCTCGCGAAATACATGTGGGTGCGACAAATGTTTAGTTACTGTACTGCGTCATGAACACGTCGTTTTTCAGATTTGGTGCGCATTTAGTGCGCTGCTCTGTTTTATTCGGCCGTTCATTAAGTACTACCGTAGGTCTTTCGTACCACCAAATGCATCCTCTAACGACTGTTGCTCAAACGCTTGTTTAAATGTGAGGTAACTTTTCTGAAGCCATCTGTTGCTTTTCGCTGGCTGGATAATTTTCACCTGATTCTCGTTGGGAGTCTTAAGTCTTTTGGCATTCTAGAAACCCTCACACAGGCGTTTAGCTGTACAGCGAAGGGCACCCAGCACCGTATGTGTGTCTGTCGTGTGTCACATGTCGAGTCATCATCCACCGGAACGAGTTTTGTTATCTGTGGCCGGTCCAGCATAGCACAAACAACAGGACAGGTGACGTGAAAATTGTTGATGCTGCTGGTGGGCCTCTTGGTCCTCCAGATATGTTTTAAGACATGACGACTAACCCATATCACCCCTATCCTTGCCCTTGATTTCTGTCCAAATCGTCTGAGTGAGCGTTCGGTAGGCTAGCACCAGGTCCTTTCCCTATCCATTCTTCCCTACCCCCTAGTCATTTTGAGAAGCCCTGTTTTTTGCAGTAATGCATCACTGTAACCACCTTTACTGCTGTTTCTGACAATAGTGTCGGTTGGTAATCTGGTGAGAAGTCTCTTAAGTGCAATGAATGTTATTCTAAGCCGGACGCTTCTAAGCTGCGCGTTTACTTTGAAAAGTTCTTTCAACCGCAAACAGTTTAGCCAAGCTCCATGTTCGAGTGCGCTCTCCTCGTCAATTGCTATGTCCGTAACACTGCATGCATTACGTACATAAATATGTGTACTATCATTTTTCGGTCGTTGATGTAATGTCGATGGGTGGATGTGATGAATCATGTCCTATACGGAACGCACTACTTGATACCGCTCTTTCCTTCAGGCGCATCAATTATCCCCCAAAGAATTATCGGCCCGTGAGGTCGTTGTGATTGACATCGGTGATATCACCCCTTCCGACAAGGATTACAACCCTAGTGAAGACCCTACTCGCTTCCACTCCGAGAAAGCTGGCAGAGGACCGTTGAAACCAAAGTGGTGGCTGGTAAGTCCACTCGTTGGGTTGCTTTCGCTTAACTGTAGGTTAGCGCTATGTGCCTTCCGACTGCATCTACTGGTGCTAGTTCTAACGGTGTCTTAGGTTCTTAGGTTCTTCGGTGTCTACATGTGGCGCGTCAGGGACGATGTCATTCAGAAATATAAGTTTACAGAAGGTTGTATGGGTTCCGAGCATAAACGGTGCCGTCATTATAGGAAAAGCAAGTTTACTGCACTAGATACACCTCACACAATACACAAGCTGCTGCTTTGCTGAAAAAGCCGGAACCTACGTGAATCAATTAATAATACAAATTGTTGTCGTTGTTGACTTCTGTCGACCAATTTTCCTCTCCTTAGATGGATAGGTAGTTGCGCTCCAGCGTAGTTTAGGTGCGAAATACTTGGGTCAGTTTCGCCAATAAGCTTCTAGGGGTCACAGACGGTAACATTTGCAACGATTGGTGGATTTACGGCTACCAACTAGACTACCAGTATATTGGGGGCGAGATGGCTCAAGTGGTCAGAGCGCGAAGGTCCGTGGTTCGAGCCCTACCTCTGCCTTCCGACTTCCCTTGTCTAGGCTTGGGCAACCTGGCAGTATCCCAACCCTCGTGCTTCCTTCGGGTGGCATGGCAACTAGGCACCAGAAGGATGTTACAACTGGACGATCCATCCGATCCATCCCACCAGTGTATTGAATTCATGTCCAGGTTGCCTTAAGCCATCCCTGACTATCAACTAATTAGTATTAACCTTTACTTTGCCCTTGGGTTTCTCCTATGACTCAAAGACAATCCAAGCGGCGTTGAGGATATCGCCATTCTATCTGGAATTAAGTCCATGCTTCTAGGTCCCGAGCTGCAGATGATGTCCGGGACCACGAACAAGCAGACCGATGGTTCTGTATTTCAAATCAGCGCTATCGTACTGCCCTGAAATACATAGACTGTTCGAAGATTCTCTACCACCGTCGCCAGTATACTGTCGACGTTCGGGGTGCAATAATAGGTCTTAGTAGACAGTCACTCACCCCCCAAATACGAATACTGTGGGGGTGATATTTGCCATAAAGGGAGCTGTGGTGTGACTATGGATATAGTGATCTCTGCTTGCAAAAGGCACCCACCAGAACTTTTCTCTTCCAATGGGTGCTGTTGACGGGAAGCAAGAAATTGAACTAAAAATGCTGGAAATATTTTCGAGAATCAAATTCTACGCCAGTTTGTGTAGTACGCCTCCCTTCGAACGTCTTTTGGTCTAAGCCGCAATTCAGGTACACGGTCTACAAGTCCCAGTAACTTAAATGTGATTAATCGCCTTTGGATAAAGAGTTATAGAACACGCTAATGGGCCATGACACTGGAACAATAGCGAGCATAGCTATTGTTGGCGGAACACAGTACGTTTAAGGTTGCTGAAAACTTCTCGACATCCCGCGACCGATTTTGTTTCTATTCGGACTCATTAGGCAGGTGCATTCCTCGGGTTTCCTTATATTCCCCTGAACTCCAGACTATACGCAATTCGCAAAATACACTCATTTGCAAACTAGTTTGTCCTCAGTTGGAAACTCAAGTGAATTTACCTGAATTTCTCATTTTGCAAATGAGTGTTCCGTTGCTTACAGTTGGATGCTCAACTGGAGCCTGAGTTTGACAAAACCCGAGTAATGCGCCCGCCTGATGAGATTCATTTGGATCTTCCTTTACGAATAGTGAGCATATAGTTTTGCGTAAACAGTGCTCATAGTCTTAGAGAATCAGTTAAAACTTAAAGTGAAGAAATCCGTCAATATCAGTAAGCATGGGATGAGACAACAGGTTGGTGCTACGCCATCTTTATACCTCCGTTTGGTGTTTTCGGACGAGATAAATTGCACAATCACACAAGACAAGCGTTGACCTCACGTTTCTGAGATGTCTACTCAGTTTGATATGAAAAACTTGGACATTTGAGTTCACTTCAGAAAAACAAACCGAACGACTCTCTGGTCTCTGTTCAGGGTTTTTGTTGGTAGCGTTGCCTTTTTCTTCACTGTTTAGCTCAAGATTTCTCAGTGGTTGAGGCGCGAACTTACTGACCGGAGGGTCCGTGGTTCGAACCCAACTTCGGTATTTCAACCGCTCCTGTCTGAGCAACCTGACAGTATCTTAGCTCTGTTGCTTCATTCTGGTATCCCGCTAAGTAGACGCCGAAAGGGTGTTACGCTGAGCGAGACCAGAGCTCACTAGTGTTGTTTGTACGATTGCCCGTAGTGATAACCTGATGCATAAAACTGAAAATAGTATCTATGTCATGCATACCGAAGCGATAACGATTCCCATCTACCCTATTGATGCTTTGGGATTTGATTGGGCACTGTGGCTGTCCGATCTCAATTCTCGTTTATGACAACAGATTTTAGGCGGCTTAACACGAAACCAGCTACGTGCCAGCTTTTCTTTGTGTCCAACCCTCAAGATTCTTAACTTTTTACCGGTTTTTCAGCCAACACATGAACTTATTTACCTGCGTGACCCCTACTCAGAGTGCCTTCTGCGTTCCAACGAAAAACACTGATTTACACATGGTCACTAGTGAATTGCTTAGCAGAATTATTCCAGTTTACATGTTGAACCAGAAAATTTACCGGTGACGTTGTGCGTGTGTTCTTCGGTTTTTATGGATGTTTTAGAAACCGGTGAGTGTGTACCTCCGTTGATGATACGCAATTTAATATTTGTTTTTGCCTTGAGCTTATCAAGGTATGTTATTTTTGCTTGGTTCCAGAGCACTGTTGCGCTGCCTTACGTGGTTTTGCATACTTTCCTCACGAAGAATGGCTTGCTTCTTCTCATTAGTATAGTCTGATGTGGAATCTCTGTGAAGTGCACGTATCTCTTTTAGCCATTCGATAATCTTAGTTTTCCGCGCTATTTTCGCCAAATTTATTCCTGCCGCCTATTACTTCTGCTGGGCGACTTGTTTCCACAGGCCTGGAAATATAAGCTCATAGTGCGTGATGAAATTTTTGAGAAAAGGTGGGGTTCATTACTTGCCCAGGGTACTCGTGTCGGTTACTCATACTATTCTCCATTCTCATAACTGTCGGTTGAGCAGTCCTGGTGTATTTTTTGCATGAGTTCACGCTTGGATGCGTGGATAACTGTTCCAAAAAGGGTCACTTGAATGGAGAATTTAACACTTGTCGCCACGGCCTGCAGCTGATAAAAATTACTTAAATTTCAGACGTCCGTGACGCTACCTGACTGGGGTGTGCTAGCACACTGATCAATCGGTTGACATAATCAGGACAGTTACTGGTTAGTCGCTCGACGTGTTGACACTTCAGAGAGATTTCCAAGAGACAACGCTCCAAAACGTGATACTTCAGGTGCGTCAAGCGTGTGCTGGTATAACAGCTGTACCACGCTCACTTTGCATGTCATATGTCCGAGGTCAACTCTCAACACGGCTAGGGATACGCACTACTGATTAGCCCTGTTGAGAACGAAACTCGAGTTCATTCGTTCCCTTCTTAGATTCGCCAGGACAAGATTTGCGTCAGAACAAGTGGAGGATTGTTTAAGGGGGACTGATATGAACGCAAGATTCTATAGGTCCCGCAACCATTCATCACCAATCCTGTTCTCTCCCTCTCACGTCCACCGTGTTGAAGACAACATAATAACTGGTTATGGGTCTATGCCCGTGCAGTTTGATTCGTAACTTCTCCGTATAAACTGAAGACAACTTAGGATGTAAAGCTGTGAAGCACTGTACAGCCACTACATCAACCTTGGGGATCATAAGATTCTCATCAATCTCAAGGGCTATTCCAAGCTACACCCTATTGTATAGAAATAGAACACTTTATTTGAGCTTCGGGTGGCTGATCTGCAGTGTGGCTAATTAGCAGTGGTGCGCCATATGATGTTACGCATCTGTAATAGTGGAGGTATGTGACATACAGTTCTTGGAGTGAAGACATGCCAAGTTATTTACCTAGATGTGAGGGGATTGTGGACTCTGATCCAGCCAATGCTAAAAACACCCATAGCTGTTGTAGCGTTGTTTCACTGTGTACATATCATACATTGACTGGACCATATACCCTCACCTTGTGAACAGTAGCTGTGGCTGCCTGGTCAGGCGCGTGGCAAATTTGTCGGGAGTTTTGAAATCTGCAACCACGTGGTGAAAAACGGGTTGTCCTATCTGGTTTTGTCCATCCTTTTTTCAGAAGACTTTTGATCACTCTTAGGATATTTTAATAGAAAACCATTTTGTCTCTCATTCTCAAGCTCCTCTTCCTGTCTATTGATTTTGGGGCCACCTGATTTGTCCTATCGGTTGTCAGCAGTATTCTCGTTACCTTCGCTCAATAATTGGTCAGGTGTACTGAGCGTGAGTTTTCACCCGCCTTCACCCAACATTGAGTTTCACTTTCAGTGCGTGAGCCGTTTCTCTTGGTCACGTGTGTCCTAAAGCTAGTTCCTAGAAACTAGGCCTGTGTACTTCACTGACCATAATAAGCTGCTATTGGCGATATTTTTTGCACAACAATTACCCTGGTTTTTGTGATGCGACGATTCAATAATTGCAACAATCACCCACTAAATAGGATAAATTATGACCAGCTGGAGATACCTGTGATGGAAATTTCGGTGATGTTACCTACATATTGCTCCGTTGTTCTCCCTTTCATCATCTGTGGGTTTCCGAGAAAATGGCTCCACCGGACACGTTATTCCCTATCGAAGTTCTCTTGCTTTCTTCACATTAACGACTTACATCCGTACATCCTATTATGACTCTAACGATGGTGGTTTACTTATGATTCATCCGCGTCTATTCGATTACTCCTGTAATCATTGAGCAGTGAAAACCGTGATCCTACAGGAATTGATGGAGGAAGCGAGAGCATTGGTGTGGCTGTATCAGCATTTCAGTATGCCACCTGTTTCACCGCGGTAGCGCGAACAACTTACAAACCGGTGCATGCTTCTGCTGACAGATGATGGG